AAATAATTAGGGGAGAGGGGGGCACCTTTGAACACTTTTTGCTTTCAAGCCTTATAAAATTTTTTATTTTATCATTTTTGGTTTCTTATAAATTTTAACTAATAGGTACATATGTAACCTTTAAAATGAATATACATATGACATACTATAAGCTTGATTTATAACTGTTTTAATGGACGAACTCAAAGTGTTCAAAACTGCCCCCCCCCCCCAGGGGGCACCTTTGAACAGGGGTTGGCATTTTTGAACGACATGGTTTTTTACAGTGTTTATGTTCAAATATGTATGTATTTTATTCATACATATCAGAAATGCATTAATTCATTAAAAAATATTCAAAATTTAAAAAATTTAGATCAAAAATTATTAAAACATAAAATGTCTTAAAAATACAAATTAATATGGTGAAAAATACAGTTAATTTCGTAATCTTATTAGCCCATTTGAAATTTTGAGAAATCCAAGCCAAAAGTTAAAAACTCCTTTTTTTACTCGAGTTTAATGGGCATGTTCAAAGGTGCCCCACCCATGGCATTTTACGGAAATTTAAAATAACTTTTTTTGTAATAAATATATATGAAAGAAATTACATTAGTTATGTTTGAAATGATTGTTGGAATGCAAAAAATTTGTTTGACGAAAGAAAACTATCACAGAATTCTTCCTGCGCCCTTACAACCAAATGAATAAAAGTTTACAATGACACTGAGAAAACATGGTCACCCATGCACAATTTTTCGACAACTGAAAAAGCAAGCCAAAGTGGTTTACGCATATAGAGAACAAGATTGCCATATACAAAAATGTGGTTGCGGGTCGGAAAAATATTAAACCAAGATTTTATGAGCGCTGTTCAAAGGTGCCCCACGTTCAAAGGTGCCCCCCTCTCCCCTATTAATTAGTTACTTTTTTACAACTCAAAGCTGTAAAGTTTTTTTTAATATTTGTGCGGTCTTCTACTTTTCGATCAGTTTTAAAGGTTATTTTTGTTAGAATTTCTATTGTATGAATTGTGTTTTGTATGTGCTTAATCTAAACTTAATATTATTTACAGCCTGTTTTTCTATTTCGAACGAAAATCAATGCAAAAGAAAGTAACTCACTCACTTTCGTTTAATAAAGCGTTCATGTATTTCGAAAGCTATCGTTCGTTTGTCGTTACGTATACCATGCAAAAAAATACTAAATTAAATGTAAAGTTTTACAACAATGTTCAATAAATGAGAGTCAAATGGGACATGAGAACAAACTACACAAATACAATCACATATTCCAATGAAAAAAATTTGTCAAATGAAATTTTTCAGTATTTGTACAAATTTATTTTCTAAAAACATGAATGAAAAATCCAAGCAATACCTATAAAACATGATTCAAAAAATTTTATTTTGTATAGAGATTGTGTTGCGTGAAAGTGCTTCAAATTTTGGTACTTAGTTCGCGATTTTGCAATTCATTCGAAAGCTATAAAGCAAGTGAGTGAATTTGACATTCTCGTTCGCATGATGACAGCTTTTTCGTCATACATAAACCCAATTTGTAAAGAAAAAATATACGTTTACGTTTTCTTTCGAGTTGTTTATCGTTCGACTTCGTTTGCCAGTAAAAAGTTTTTATATGAACCAAAATTGATTTTCATTCGCATTGAAAACAAAAGAAACATTGCTTTCGTGACTTATGCTAAAAATTCATGGAGATTTTAACCCAAAAATGATTTTTTTTTTAAGATTATTTACGTTTAGGCTGACTTTTGAGTTTTAGCAGGGTGCGCTAAAATTCGCTCGCGAATGATTCAAAATACATTCTTTTCGTTTTTTGTTCATTTTATGGCGATAAATTCTTTACCAAACGAGCATTCGCCAAAGAATGTTCGCACACACATAACAACGTTCGTTCGTTTCGTTTAGTGGTTGAAATTCTTTCTGACATTCTCTCACGAATGAAAACAAACATTCCCAATGTTCATAAGAATATGAACATGCTCGGCTTCATTCATTTCATTTTATGATCAATTCACATTTATGCATTTCATAAATGATGTTCAAGTGGTTTTATGATAAGTGGCCAATGCAGTCACAAGATCTGTGTGTGTGCGCTGATAATAAAGAATCAATAGAAGTCCACACACAAAGATATTGGTGCGCTCAAGGTATATTTAATAAGGTAGCCGTATCGGCCCAACTGTTGGTGCAAATAAATGTCAAAAATGTTGTTGTAATGTTGAACCAAAAAATTAAAAAACAAAATTATAAATGAAAAATCTCCGAATTTTGAAGAGCTTGTTTGGCTACTTTTATTAACATTTTCTACAAGAATTTATGTAAAAAAATCTTGTCAATTTGTTTGTTTTGGCAAAATATTTTTGACATATCAAAATACAACAAGCGATGTTTGTTGTAGAAATTCGACGATGCGGCTACCTTGTATATCTACCTTGGGTGCGCTCATTTGATGTAAACAAATGAACGCAACCCCCATGTGCACTGTGAGAACTGATAGTTGTTATGTGTTTAAGATTAGGCTAAGTTAGATTAGTTTATGTAGTACTTAAGTCAGAATAGTTCATAAATAAATTAGAGTGGAAACTACAATCGAACTAGAAGGTTGGTTTCAATGTCTCATTTTAACACCCAAATTCTCGCGAATGCTCAAAACGGCAACAACAAACGTTCGTGAACTCAATAGTTGTTGGACATGTGTTTTGTTATTCCACACACTTTCTGCTACACACACATTCTTTCGTTGTTTGTGTGTTTACTTGTTTATGATATTTTTTGTTGTTGTCGCTTGCAGCGAAATTTTATCGTTCGCGAATTTTTCCTTCTATGCGAACATTCGCGAGAGGTTGCAAATGCTTATTCATTCATTGTAATCATTCACGATAAATTGAAAACATTCGAATTCTCGCCTGTGAGCATTCGTGTAAGAAAGAGCATATTTTAATCATTCTTCGCAACCTGAGTTTTAGACTATTCTGAGACTTATAGTAAAACATTATGGCGAACATTTCTGTAGAATATTCTGAGCACCTTTAATCCCGTTTTGAATGAGTTTTAAATTCATTCTTGAAAAGGAGACCGAAAAGATCTCTTCATTGAGTCGGTTGAGGGTTAAAGTTGTATACCAAAATATTCCTCTATATTTTATCAGTAATATTACCGAAGACACTATATACCTAAAATAGAAGGATTTGAAGAAATCATAATTCGAAAATTATCAAAATTCTTGAAAAGGGGGAAATTTTGGAACGCGTTCCAATACCCAGAAAACTAGTAAAACGTTCAATTAAATCGAAAAGAACAAAAACGAAAAGGGTGTTCTCTTTATACGGTAGAAAGTTTGCCGAATAAAAATGGCAACCAGAAATACCAATATCCAATTAGCTGTTTTGCTGATTTTAACTTTGACATTATTACTAGTATTCCGTTCCAGAACTTTTTGTATTATTTTTTACTGTGAGGGCCAAGGTAGATATATAAGATAGCCGCATCGGCGAATTGGGAACATGATATGTCAAAATTGTTATAAAGCGAAAAAAATTAATTCGACTTCTATTTTTCCACCAATCAGAACAAAGCATTTTTAAAGTTTTATAAAATATTTATTTCCTTTTTTTTAATTGATACCTTTTTTTAAAGATACGAAGACGTGGACCCATTTTGAATATATTTTACCAAACTCAACATATGTGGAAATCTAAGGTACGAAATTACAACCAAATGATTGAAATCGGGACGTACATATCATTGTTTGGAATCGAACATAGAGAGTTTTGCAAGGAAATTTGCATTCGACAAGAAACCAAAATATCAAATTGAAGAAACTGAATACTAACAATGCTTAACAATAAAACTCCAGAATGTAGTTCTGATTTCCTTGATCAATATCCTTATCATATGTATTGTCTATTCTGATGGTCTCATTTGAAGATTAACGCTTCGCTCTTCTATTATTGATATTGTTTATAATACGGTATATAATGAGATGATTTTTACGTGAAATACGCCACCAAATAGTTATAGAAAGTCCCAAGACAATAGATGCATGTAAAATTCCAACACGCTCTTCTCGTGTAATAGTAATGGTCTTCCCATGGTATAATTATTACAAGGCACAAGGGCACAGCTACCAACTGATTACAATTTTTTCTCAAGGTGGCTTGTTCCATCAAATCAAAATACATATGTTGTGTATGTGTGTGTATTGTTTTGAATACAATGTCAAATAAATTGAAATATATTCAAGTTTAATTGAAATGAAAATAAAGTTTTTAACGGTTTCGTAGGGAAGTATTTACTTTGTTATAAATGAAACAAACATTTTATGGTATTCCCTACTGTATTTTGGGAAGAAATCATAACCTTTCATTCATTTCTCGCGTTTTTAGTTTTGTGTTCAAAAAATGTCAAATAAACACAAACACTTGTTGCGTATATTTATTTTATTTTTGGCAGAAGAATCCATACGTGCATAGTTGCTTTTTTGATATTCACCTCAAGCTGCCCTACTATGTATTATTGTACCATGGGTCTTCCTATAGAAGTTCATGTGAAGGTATCCTAGACATGGCCTATATTTTTTGTTTCCTCAGAAATTGTCTTCTTTCATTTTTAATTTTATTTTTGTTTTTCTATTTTTGTCTGCGATTTCAATAACAAATTGTTGTGACATATAATGTTACCATCAGCTGGCTTGATACGGTTAACTTATTAATATACCTTGGTGAGGGCGTAATACTTATTATGCATTTATACATATGTTTTCAATGATATAGGTTATATATCTGATCTAATGTAGATAATTTTCTGTAGTGTTCCATGCTTTGACATGGTCGCCACCTCAAAGTACAGCCTGGCTAAAATTAATACATTATGTTGGACGATTAAGGAAGAAAAAACAACAGTTGATTTGTTCATTGTGTATTTACCCCTTTATTTGATTGCGAACATATAAATTTTAATAGCATAAAGTTTTAACTCCTCAATAAGGTGTAATGTGTATTTAAAAATGCCTTAATATTTATATTTATTCTATGAGTTTCTTTGCTTTGAAGTATCTGCGCAAATAAAGAACTTGCCACGTCGCTAGTCCTAGAAGGCAGCACATACTGAAGATACTGAAGAATAGTACTCGGCTGTTCGTTTTCTCTAAAAATATACTTTAATTTAAACTTTTTGTCATTTAAGAATTAAACAGCGTCTCATACCATTAGTATCTCGCATTTCTTCTTCACGCTTCCTCATCAAAGCGAAATCTCTTACAATTGAGTCAGACAAATCCTCCAAACGTTTCAAATCAACTTCAAGGGGTTTTATCTTAGATGCCTCCGCAATCTATAAAGCAATATTATTATAAACACGAATAAGTAACAATTCATACCTATACTTACTCCTTCATAGTTTTTAGTTTCAACTCCTTTCTTAGTTATTAACGATACCTCTTGCACAACGCCGCGTTGATCTTTAAAGAATATCATCTTTATTACAAACAAAAAAAAAATTGCATATCTCATAATTATGTACTTACGTGGGGGTACTTTGGAAATAAAACAGATCTCATAGGTATCATAAATTTCTGACATGAAACTGAACTTTCCTTTTGTAATGTGTTCCTTTTGGGACAGGATATGTCCCTTTGAGTCTCGAGCCTATAAAAAAAAATTGGTTTTAGAACAAAATATGATTTTACATATTTACGGGACTTACAATGTAGTCAATGACTTGGCCGGGTACATCTGTCACCTCATATTCGCCCATGACAAGCTGATTGGCCTGCATATCTTCTTGCAGACACTTTTGTGTATTTGGGGACAGATGAAACATTACACAATTTGCACTGCTAAGAAGTGCTAAAAAGGCCAGGGATTCTAAAAATTTCATTTTTAAAACACTTCCAATATAAAAGATGAGGTGGCTTATTTTCCCTTCACAAGTTTTTTTTTTTACTACCTAATTAAAATGCGTCATTAATGAAATACACTGTACGATACAACAAAGCCAGTCGATTTCGTTCCTAGCGGCGTTTGATCTCAATTCAAAGCATTGCCTAATGCAATCCGTATGCGTACGACTCACCACATACGTTAAAGCGTTAAAACGTTAACTAGTATCCGACGGGTCTTATAAAAAATTCAACTTTCTCACTATGGCAACATTTTACGTACCCAAATACTTCGAATCCATACAATACGCAATACAAATCATAAAAAATTCCCAATAATTTATATTTTAATTCAAAATTGCATATTTTCAGGCAATTTTACATATTTAAAATATATATTTGTATTTTTCTGACATTTTTTCAACGCAAAACTAAAAACGCGAGAATGAAAGGTTATGATTTCTTCCCAAAATCCAGTAGGGAATACCATAAAATGTTTGTTTCATCCATAACAAAGTAATTACTTCCAGACGAACGTTTTAAAAACTTTGTTTTCATTTCAATTAAACTTTAATATATTTCAATTTATTTCGAATTTATTTGACATTGTATTCAAAACAATACACACACATACACAAAATATATATTTGATGGAACCCAGCAAGCATTTTCTATGCAAAAAATATCCAAAAAGTTACTACCAGGCGATGAAAACACTCGTAGGCGATATCGTATTTTTAACAAATAAGTTATACCGTTTGGGAAGAAATGAAACACGAACTCGTTACCGAACTCGTTACCTTTAAAAATCATCTTCTTCGTCACAGTTTGAAGTTAATAAATAATGCGTGTAAAATATGTTGTTGACAAACTTTGTTTAGGTCCAACAACGACGTCTGGGAAATTTTAGACGGCACATATCTGTAAAAATTAATGTTTTAAAAATTTCAAATTAACACAAAAGTAAGCTGACTTGCCTCTTATTATAGTATATGTGTTAAATCGGTGAAAACTGGGTTTTTTGTATAGTTCCACGCCATGTTATTTCAATTGCTTTTTGATCACGTATAACAGCTTTAATTGCTAATTTAACAAATGATGACATTTCTTTTTCCCCCAACACTCAAATTACCTTGTTTAATGTTTGACATTTCATGATAAATCATTTGCTGACCATTGGTATTATCTAAGTATATTACATTTTCTGCATAATATATATATATATATATATTTCAGAATTCATGTTTGCAGTTTGTATTATAAAATATACCTTTATTATTTGTGCCCATTATTGAATTTAAGGGAAAGCCGTCAGTAATACTTTTCCGCATCTTTCAATATTATTTGATACAGCAATGAAAAATGTTTCAGGCCGAAGATTTTTTATAATGAAAATTCAGTAATATCCAAAAATTTTTATTCAATGACAAATATTTATACAACGACGAAGCTATCGAATTTCCATCTTCTTTCATTTAACTAAGTAGTTACTACAGACGATAGAAATTGGAAAACAATTCATTTGTTATTGTAAAATTACGAAGTATCACCTTTTTTTTCATGGTAACATTTTTTTTTTCCTGTGAGTGTATATTTTTACCAGCTAACAGTTATTTGAATTGATCTCAAAGCCAGTGTAAAAGCGGATTTACATATAACATTTAATCATGATTAAAAGCTTAATAAGGGTTTATTTTCTTAGGCTACGTTTAAACTACAAAATCCACTCGATCTCAAATGTCAATTTTATAGCGTATACGTCAAATATAATCCACTGGATTTGTGAACTGGGTTAAAGTGACGTATACGCTCTAATCTAGTTCACAAATCCAGTGGATTCTGTTTGATGTATACGCTATGGAATTGACATTTGAGATCGAGTGGATTTATCATATAAATTTAAATAATTTTGCGTAGAGTTTATTTGAATCATGATCTAAATGAGATGCAATGCGGTTTTTGTACGAAAGAATACTACTCTCCCACACTGTACCAAAATGTGAAACTGTTTTCACATGTTGCATGTTTTTATATTGCCAAATGAAAAATCAAAGGAAAACAAATCATGATTAAAGGTAAGTGTAAACAAATAGGGTGTATTTCTGGATTTCGTTAATCGAGTGGATTAAAAATCGTATATGTAAATGTTCTTTTAATGAGGCTGAATTTACCATGATTTATCATACAGGGTTTATTTTAAATCATGATACTAATAGATTCAAAGCGGCTTTTGTACGAAAAAATAAAACACTCTCACAATGTGCCAAAGTTTGCAACTATTTCTCATGTTGTTTGTTTTTATATTTAACGGTTGCAAATGAAAATCAATGAAAACATAAATTATTTATAAAATTTGTGTGTTTTTAGGTGATTTTTTACTTTCCCGTGATTGTCGGGATTTCAAAAATAATGAAATTGTTGTAATTCTTCGTTTCATTTTCAATTTGCACACAAATACTTTTTTGGCGCATATCAATAATTTTGTATGTATACTAACAAACATGATCATGATTAAAGTTACCTGTAAACAATTTGGGTGTATTTCTATATTAGGTGATTTTTTTACTTTCCCGCGATTGTCGGGGTTACAAAAATAACGAAATTGCTGTAATTCTTCCTTTCATTTTCAATTTGCAAACAAATATTTTTTGGCGCAAATAAATAATTTTGTATGTACTTTGTTTTTGCAAAATAGTCAAGCTGAATCCCAGCTTGTTGTTTTTATATGTATACTAATCAATTTGCAAAGAAATATTTTTTTGCACAAATAAATAATTTAGTATGTATTTTGTTTTTGCAAAATAGTCAGGCTGAATCCCAGTTTGTTGGTTTTATATGTATACTAAAACGGCATGTACACTAGAACTTTTTCACCGACATATATGCAAAGGAATTGACAATTGAAACCCACTGGGTTAACGAAATCCGGTTAAATGTAAACGTACTATAACAAACATCAGCTGATCGACATTTAGATTATGATTAATGTTATGTGTAAACAATTTGGATGTATTTCGGGATTTCGTTAATCAAGTCGATTTAAAATCGTATTTGTAAAGGTAATTTAAATAACCTTAATTTATTTTCAAGATTTCGTAAATCCAAATCATATGTAATGCGCTACTACTATAAAAAAGTGCGTACACAAATGAGCTACTATTATAAAAAACCCAGCTACACAAATGAGCTGGAAGCTCAGCCCAGCTGTTGGTGCAAATAAATGTCAAAAATGTTGTTGTAATGTAGAACCAAAAAATTAAAAAACTAAATTATAAAAAACCCAGCTAACATTTTTCGAAAGGCTTATTGGAATGAGGAATTCAATTTTTGTCGTAACCAAAGGGCTCTATTTTTATAAGTTCAATAATTCAGTTTTTAAAGCAACCATGGCATAATAGTTGACTTCGTTCCAGGTGATACAAACAGTGATAAAGTATGTCTGCGTCGGATAGGAGCTGTTCATAACAGCTCATATTTGAATGTGTGAAATTTTAAGATTAAAGAATGAAATATTCCCTCCTCTTCTCCATCATGGACTGATTCCGTTCCTGCGATCCAAGTACGCTACCTTTTATGTTCTTTTATGTTACCCCTTTATGTTCTTTTCCTTATAATTATAGAAGGTAATCTCATTTCAGACATTTATAAAGGTAACCCTTTTTAATTTGGAACTCACCATGCCATAATTATACACGGTAGTCTCATGCAGTTATATATCATGTACGCATATCATGGGTTCAGTGGCAAGAATTGCTAAATAATTTATATTTATAAATATTTTGAAGTTCCATATCTCCAAAAATTATAAATATACGATGTAACACCCATGATTAAATCTTGAGAGCAATGTTCAGCTTTAGAATATATATTTTGTTTCATTTATTGAAAATATGCCAATCGACATGCATAACATTTTATGGAATTTCTTTTTTTTTAAATTGATATATAAATTACACATTAAAAAGGGTTGCCTGTAATTATGCCATGGGAACTCACCTATCAATTTCAAATAAACTGAAAAATAAATTCCATGTTGATTGGCATATTTATTAACAAATACAAAATTTATACTTTTTGAAGCTTTTGTGATGGACAAATATTTTTATAATTGCATATAAATGTACATGCTACGTTCAATAAGTCAATAAAATTCAAATTCCGTTCCAGAACCTAAAAGAATCTACTATTTTTACACTCTTTGCAACATTTTAACCACACAAATGGTAAAACATTGAAAAAAATTTAAGAGAAGGCAAGCCAAAATGGCGTTCTCTTTGTAAACTTTTAACTCGAAAAAAAATTCCGAGTAAAAATGGTAAACAGGAATGCCAACTTCTGATTGGCTGATTGATACTAGATTTTCGTTCCCGATCTTTTCAAATTATTTTGTACTCTAAGAGCGATTTTTAAAATTTTTCCTTTTACTATCTTTTCTATTAAAAAAGTACTGGAACATACCATCTGTTCCAGAACGAGCAGTGACTGAGTGACATAATTTATCAGAGTTATCAATTTATAGTTAATATCATCGTTTGACGTTTACAATGTAAACCGTTGTTTTGCGTGTTCCTCTTTCTTCTTATATTATCTTTATTGTTGTTCTGAGCGCAATTGTCTCATTTGAAATTTGATCTTGTTGAAGAAGGAGGTGCAAAACTGCGGTAAGATATAACTGTTTGTCATATATTGTTGTTTTTGTAATGTTACAGTTATTATTTTTGTAGAAATAAACATCATCACCACGTACATTTGTACTTTACATAAAAAGCCGTCGTTTGTACGTTGTTTAACGCAAGCCTCCTGCCCTTCTAGCCGCAGCCAGCAACATTTCTTTATTTCGCAGTTTGCTGTTGTTTTAAACTGCAGTTTTTTCTTTAATTATTCTTCCAATATTATTTATTATTGCCGTGGTAATTTTTGTAAAACAAAATTTGATTTTTTTGGAACAACCACACAAACT